TTCCCATCAGCTCGGGACTGGGATCCACGACGAGGCCGCAACTGGGACCCGTCCACGCGCGAAGGCCCAGCGGCTGTTCCAGCTGCAGAAGCTGGAGGCGGAGCTGCCGCCCCGGAGCCAGCCCTGGCCCCGCCCACCTGCCGGGAGCTGAGGCTCCTATTGGCCCCGCCGGGCTCCCGACCCCAGCTGCTGCGCCGAGACGGACGCTTGAGAACGGTGCACCGCGCCCGCCGGAAGTACTCCCTTGAGCGGAAGCTGCTCTGCGCGACATAGCGGAAGTGTCTTTCCTCCCACCCTCTTTGGTCCCGGCCGCAGGAGCAAGATGGTGAGTTGTTTGCAAGGGCTGTTCGAATCGCCTTCCATCCTCCTCCCCTGCGCCGCGTTCCTTGCTCTCCGTGGGGGTGTCCGCAAGGTTCTCGATAAGGGGAGCTGATGGGCAGGAAAGGGACACGCTGTGGCGCTCAAGAGCCGGAAGAATGGCTCCTAACTGTGCGCGGGGTGCCGAGCCTGCCGTCGTGGACCTGGAGCCGCTTTGGCTCCCTGGCTGCGGTCTGAGCTTTGGGTCCCTCGCCGCCCTGCCCTCGGGTGAGAGCTAAAGGGAGCAGCAGCTCGGTGTGGAGTCTTTGGCTCTGTAAGCAAAGGGATGAGTTGGTAGCGGTGCCGGGCAGGCGCGCCTTGGTGTTTGGGCGAGAGTAGGTAGGAAAACCACATTATTTGGCCTTTCGCCTTTTCTCTGCTCGGTTGTAGCGGATTCCAGAACCGCAACTCTTGCGGGAAACGTTAGGTAACCATGAAATGCCGGTTAGTGGCTTCCGATGGAGCCTCGAAGAGAAGTTAGGAACTTGTCCCGCAGCTTCAGCCCTTAGGACTCTCTCGAGAGTCTCGGCTCCTCTGTAGCTGCTTTGCCCGACATGACTAGTAATGGCTGGCTTTCGGAACCGTTTGCCCCCTTAACGCACAGACGAAAGGGACGTCGTCGTTCGGCAAGCGGCGCAACAAGACGCACACGCTGTGCCGCCGCTGCGGCTCGAAGGCCTACCACCTGCAGAAGTCCACCTGCGGCAAGTGCGGCTACCCCGCCAAGCGCAAGAGGAAGTGTGAGTTCGCCGCGGCCCGCCGCGTGCGGGGGCGGGGATGCGTCTGGAGCTTCCCCGCAGTAGCCCTGTTGGCGGCGCTCCGGAGTGGGGCTGGCTTGGGGGGGTTATTTTGTGTCTCCTCTGAAGCTGATGCAGAACCCAAGGGAGGCGCTGAACTACACTGACCAGCGGCGCCTACACGGTGTCCTGGGGGAACCCTGCAGAACCTCACCCGGGTTTTGTGTTTTAGATAACTGGAGTGCCAAGGCTAAGCGACGGAACACCACCGGGACTGGTCGCATGAGGCACCTAAAGATTGTGTACCGCAGATTCAGGTACAGCTTCCATGTTTCCGTTATTGGCTCTATGAGCTTGGATAAGAGTCAAATTAGAATACTGTCCTGATTAGTGGGGATGGGGTGTAGGAAGGTATTTTCACCAGTATAACCGTCAGATCCATTAAATCTACGTGGTGTTAATCTTTCAGGAAACTGGTATGAGTTATAAATGGCTAGGGCTTGGTTTGAGCTAGATTCCCAAGACCAACACTTGCCAAGACAGTGGTATGAATGAGGACTGGAATCAGGCCTCAGCTTTTTGTGGCTTTGGGCAAGTCTACTGTAGAAAACTGCCGTAGTTGCTATTGGGTTTTTATAGAGAGAGAAATCCTACGGTCTTACTACTTACAGTTTGTTAGAAATGCAGAGATTTCAGCTCCAACCTAGACTTATAAACTGTGTTTCAATGGTAGGTTTTAAAGCATTGACCCATCTAAGGTCTCAAGTGAGGTGATTCTTTGTTGTGAGCAGCTGTCCTGTGCAGTGTAGGATACTTAGAATCCCTGGCTTCTACCCACTTAACTCCACATTTTCTAATTTTGAAAGATCATGAAGCAGGGGCTTTATTAACATAGCACCCTTTGATGTGTCTGTTCGTGTACTGAGGTGGCTTTTGTTTTGCACTTCAGACCATTATACAGTGGTGTGGACTTGTGTTGAGTGGCCTGCTGGTGTGGTGTAGGGGTTAAGAGCATGAACTGGAGCCAGACTTGAACCTTTCTGTGCCTTGATTCACTGGCCTTTTAAGGTGGATGGCAGTATACTTGCCACTTTCCTTAGAGTAGGTGTGAATAATAAATGAGTTAGAATGCACAGCATTGTCAAGCAGTTTAGAAAGTACCTGCATTTAACACACTCATTGTCTTTCCTTGGTTCAGGGAAAGTAATATCTTTGCCTCATAGTCTAGGGACCCATATCTATGATGCCTAAAATAGATCCTGTGAAGCAGAAGGAAGGAAATAAACTGTTGCAGCTTATCCATGATGTTGTAAAAATAAATGTCTGAACATATGAATTCAATACTGATTTCAGCATTTAACTGAGATAAGCTCATTAAAAATCTTTTTTAGCAAACAATGCATATGTGGCATTGCTGACGTAACGGTTCTTGTCTTTAACTTGGTGCAGGCATGGATTCCGCGAAGGAACAACACCTAAACCCAAGAGGGCAGCTGTTGCCGCATCCAGTTCATCTTAAGGATTTCGATGATTAGTTGGGACAATAAATGTCATGGTTTTAAAAAATATCTGGTGTGCTAAGGTATTTTTAATAGACTTGTAGTATCAGTGAACTATATTTGGGAATGGGACAACTTGCTGTCGAATTCACTTGCTAAGTGGTGGTTGGGAACACTACTGAACTGGTTGTGATGTTGCTTACGGACAAGAAACCAGCGGAATTCCAGGATTCTTTCAAGCAGACAACACTGGGAAATGACAGAGTAGAGTAAGGGGTAGAGGAGCACAGATTGTGTGGCTTATGGATATTTAAAATGTTAGTGAATGAAAGCATAAATTCCTTTTAGTAACATGCATCTAATATAGTGTAATGACTGGGGAGTGGTTGTCAACCTAAACAGTAGGGCTTGGAGTACCAGTGAGGACATGAAGGATGGTGGGGGGGTGGGTATAGGGTCAAATGAATTCTACCTGAACTCATCCAAGTATCCAAAATGCTTGCTTGGNGGGGGCGGGTATAGGGTCAAATGAATTCTACCTGAACTCATCCAAGTATCCAAAATGCTTGCTTGGTGCCCAACATGTAGACTGTGTTTGAGGTNTGGGGGGGTGGGTATAGGGTCAAATGAATTCTACCTGAACTCATCCAAGTATCCAAAATGCTTGCTTGGTGCCCAACATGTAGACTGTGTTTGAGGTTTGAGTGAAACACTAAAGCAACCTGTTGGGTGTGTAAAAGTCTGTAGGGCCCCATGCAAATGCAGGAGATTGCGTAGGAAGGAAAGGAAAGCCAAGTATAAACTCATTGCAGACTAAAGAATGATAAATTGCTCCCTGGTAGAATTTTTTTAACCCTCAACTGGGTGATGAAGGATTTTTCTGTGTTAAAGTGCTCTGGAATTTTTTGCCATGGTTTTGGGTGGCTTATCGCCAGAGAGTTGAAATGAGACAAGGCCAGCTTTGTTGGATTGCTGAGTGAGGACAGGATTACATGGCACAAGTGTTGTGACAGTCACCATGAAATAGCAAAGTGGCTGAGCTGCTAACTTGTAGCTTCTCGTATTTAGGATAACATCCTCAACCTGGCCTGCAGAGGGTTTTTGAGTCTTCACTGCCTCACCGCTCTTACCTTTACTGCACTCTAGAATGCTCCCCAAGATATTAGTTCATTCCTGCCCTCCTGCTTTTTTCTCAGCTCCTAACTCACCCTTCAGGTCTCAGCTTCTAGTCACTTGTACAGAAGCCCTGCTGATCTTAGTCTACATTGGGCTTCCTTCCAATGTATGAAACTATTTTGGCTCAGTAGAACTGAAGTCTGACTTGCTCTTAAGATCTTTCTGAAATCCAGTATTACTAATGGCTGGTTCCTAAATGATGGAGGGGCCCATTAAGATAGGTAATACTTAGTATGGAGTAAATGTTAGGCTTTAAGGCAAGTGGGCACTGACCTGAAGACCTATGGAGTTGCTGACTCCTGGGTCAGGAAAAGAAGCGGCTACAAGGGGTCAGGTGAGAGGTGGGCAGTGATGCATTAATGCCTGTGCATTGAGTATAAGGTAAACTTAGTTGTTTGCCAGTGCCTGTGGCCCTTGGCATAAAGTGTGTTGTGGTGGGAATTTAGTGCAATGGCAATTATCCCCATTGATCATAGATGGCTCACAGGCTGAATGAAGCTGCACTGATCACAGTTTAAGTTGAAGACCCAGGGAGAAGCAATGGGAAAGGAATGGGGCTGGCACATTTGAAATGAAGTGCAAACAGGTGCATTCAATTGCTCAGGTAANGAATGGGGCTGGGTTGGCACATTTGAAATGAAGTGCAAACAGGTGCATTCAATTGCTCAGGTAATCAGTTTGCAAAAATGTGTGTAGTGGGTCTGATGTCCTGNATCAGTTTGCAAAAATGTGTGTACTGGGTCTGATGTCCTGAGGATCAGAATTGAGGTTTGGACAGTGGATCCCTCATCTGACAAAAGATGCCTGAGGCAAGAAAAGCCCCATTCTGATAGTGTTAGACTGAACATAGCTCTGTAAATAGCAAATGTAAAAAGTATTTGCTTTGCCCTCCAAAGTGTCTAAAATGGTTTGAACTCTTACGTGGAGAAAATCAGTAAGTCCTTTAAGGGGAAGACCTTCTAAAAAAAATAAAAACCAGCAGCTGATAAAACGGTATAGGAGAAAGGTCTCGCTTCAGTTTGGGGCAGGTGATAGAGGTGACTGAGGAAGAAGCAAATGCTATACCAGGTGACAAATAGTATTTCAGAAACAACCACCTCGGGTGAATGGAGGGGTTGGCTGTGCATGGCTCAGCCACCTCAAGAGTGGAGAAGGTGAAGTCAGAGCAAAAACTAATTATGGTCCCTGTGTCACAGGGGAGCAGCCCTCAGAAGAAGGCGGCTTCCCAAGGGAGGAGAGGCAGGAGGCAGGAAGCCAGGGAGAGAAGTGCTGTCCAATTGGGGATGGCTCTGGAGAGAGCTCTGGGAACAATCCCTCTGAGGTGGCAGCATGACAGGGCTGTTAGAGTTGCAAGGGATTCTAGATGGTGAAAGCAAACTCCCTTTGGAGAGGAGAAAACTAAGGCTCCGAGATTTCCTCTAAAGGTGTAACTTTTTCTGGTAATAAAGATTCTGACAACAGGGTTATGGGAATGCACTCTTAATTGGGACATTGTACAATGTAAGATTAGTTTTGCAGCAAATTTGTCTTCATTAAATAGAATCNTTCTGGTAATAAAGATTCTGACAACAGGGTTATGGGAATGCACTCTTTTAATTGGGACATTGTACAATGTAAGATTAGTTTTGCAGCAAATTTGTCTTCATTAAATAGAATCCTTACTCATCCATGGCCTGGATATGGAAGCACGGTGCTAATCATACACTAAAGTATAGAGATGAAGATCGCACTCGCACGTATAACTTGAGCATCGGATTAACTTTTTAAAAGGTAATAGCAAGCCATTCCCAGTTACCTTGATCGGAGCAACTCTGCCCTTTCNATGTATTACGGAATAAAATCCTTGACTTCATAGCCTCTCATCGCTCATCACTCTGCAAGATCATGTCCAAGCTGAGAAGCACGTACAAGGCTTTTCAGGATTTGGTCCTGTTTACCTCTCCTTTCTTCTGAGGAGCCCTTTGCACATCCAGCTTTCATCCAGTCACCACTCACTCTTGTCTGAAAAACTGAAAAAGCCTAGCCCACTTCCCTCTGGGATTCTTCATGTGCTCGACCCCACTTGGGGTCCCTCCCCCAAGTGCCCTTATGCCCCAAGCTAGCTACCCTCTTTGAGTACAAAGCACCATCTCTCAATATATTTTTATTGATTTCAGAGAGAGAGAAACTGATGAGTCACTGATCCACTCCCTCCTGCAGGCCCCCTACTGGGATCGAGCCCACAACCCAGGCACGTGCCCTGACCAGGAATTGGACTGTGACCTTGTGGTTCATAGGTCGAGACANCCTACTGGGATCGGGCCCACAACCCAGGCACGTGCCCTGACCAGGAATTGGACTGTGACCTTGTGGTTCATAGGTCGAGACAACCACTGAGCCATGCTGGCAGAGCCAAAGCACCATCTCTTAATGCTCCTCTAAATATATTCAGGTTCAAGCTTTTGTGGACCTACCTACACAGTTACAGGTTATGCCCTCCTCATAACCCCCCTTTTAGGACCACATATGTGTTTTTATTGGAGCATCTATCACATTGCTATGACGTGCTGAAGGCAGATTCTGTGTTCCTTTGTTAAAATTTTGAGTCCTCTGAGCCTAGCAAACTGCCTAGTATCTAACTAGATGTGTTTAATAAATATTGAATATTAGTTACCATGTAACTACAGCTNTTTTGAGTCCTCTGAGCCTAGCAAACTGCCTAGTATCTACCTAGATGTGTTTAATAAATATTGAATATTAGTTACCATGTAACTACAGCTAAGCTAAGGGAATATCAGGCTGCACTAATAGCAGAGCACTCAGAATTTTTGGTTCTGGTTACTGTGTTTAGAGGTAGACTTTGGGGAGGTGTAATGTCCACCTGACAATGTTGGGTGTACTAACACCGTGACATCCTTAAGGAGAAAAGGCCAAGAGGACTGGGCTCCCTAAGAACCTCTGAAGGGGTACACAGGAAGCAGCTGACTAGTACCTGCTGAGCCCCACTGAGACCCGAGTGTCTCTGCCAGTGTTGGGTTATCTGCCATGTCTTCTTCAGCCCTGAGATGGACTGGAACTTATGTGTACTAATAAAAGCTGAAGTACTTACGTTTGGAAACAATTTACCTTTTTCCTCCCCTTAAACTAGAGCGGGTTGAAAGCTACTTCGACAACGGCACTCCTGCACACTTATATTCCAATTTAATTTACTTTGCAGAGTTGCAACTGATGGATCTGGAAACCGGGTAGAAGCCACAGTCTACTTTATCTTTGCTTCTACCCGGAAAGATGTTGGACATGTGACTATTATCTACTCGAGGTGGGGGGATCCAGAGAACTGCCATCCTAGATTAGGGGCTCCCCCAGAGCCGGGAGCATGACTCTTCATTTCCTATCTATTCAGTGTCTGGTGGTTCTCAGATGCCTGAAGAAAAGGAAGTGAAAGTCGGGAATGGATCAATGGGAGCATGAAAGGAAGAGAAAGTGGAAGGAAATGTGACAAAGTTTTTTAAAAAGGAATGAAGGAAAGAGAAAGCAAGGAAATAAAGACGTCTTATTACTTTCTTAGAAACTGTTAGTTGGAATCAGTTTTTAACGGGACAAGAAAAACACCAGCTGCTTAGACTATGGGAGACTGGATGACTCCTAACTTTCTATTCAATCCTTTGATCTATGATTTTAGGTTTTATTTCTCCAACAATGCTTTTGAGTGAATGCTGGCATTTAATAAATATTTATTAATAGAATTATAGTCTAAAATAATACCAAAGCAGAAGCAAACTGATGTTTCTGCTAAAAAAAGTTTACTTTCTTAATTGGGCCTTCATTGTTTCATGGAGAGATTGGCAGTGGGCTTGTAAAATTCAGCTTCCGTTTGCTCTGTGGCTTAACTGGCACTGTACTGAGCTAAGGGACCTTGTGATTTTTCTTTTAAAGAAATAACTGAAACTTGTTGGGTTAAATTCTAGACATGATACAAATTTAAAGTAATTGAAGATACTATTTCAGGGGGTGGAGGGGATTACAGTGCTTTGTTTTCCCTAAGAGAGTCCAGAGAGCTCTGTGCTTTGTGGAGATCCAAAAAGCCTGAGGTGCGGAAGCTCACAAGGCAAACCAGGGAATGGCACGTGAAGAAACCGGAGAGCAGAAATCACGATGGTAACCACTTCTGCCCCCTGCCCCCAATATCTCAGCAATCAATGGCTTCTCAACTTTTTGCCTTTCAAAATATGAGCAGTCCATAATAAGTAGGAACTGATGATCTCTCCAAGGCTAGCTGTAACGGACTCTGCTTATCAGATGTAAGTCTAAGCTCAGGGCTTGCCTTCCCCTGCAGTCCTTGCTTGAAACAACACAGCACTTAATGCACGATTTCAAACATGGGAAACATTGAAAAATCACAACAGTTGGGTAACTTCCACTGGAAGAAAGTAACATTTTTAGTCTTTTTTTATATTTTCACGAAGAGTCCATCTCTTTGCCCATTGACACTGGCCCAAATGCTATGACACTGCAAAATTGAGATCATATAAGCTGGTTTTGGGGGTTTTTTGGACACTGGATTCTGCTCATGTTAGAGAAACATAGCTGACTAATAAACTCACTCTTTTTTTTTTTTACAAATCAAGTATATTTATTAAAAGTAAGTATACTTTCTCTACTTCCCCTATGATAGGGCGTGATCCCATTGTATAGGGAATAGTCTACGTCCTACTCTCTCCAACAAAGATAAATATTTGTCCATTCCTGTTGGCTTCCTCTCTGCGCCCTCTTTGGTCACCACACTCATGGTTGGGATTTCTGCTCAATAGTTAAGAGGCTCCCAGCCAGACTACATAATGTGACAAAGTGTGGAGTGTCTCCTTTGTACAGGTAGGATCTGTCATAAATTTACCAAGACAAGAATTACAGAAAAAGGGTTTCTGCATTCACCTGCAGCTCATGAAAAATACAGTGGGATCCACAGCACCCTCAAAACCAGCATGTTGTGACCACAATAAAAAGTGCAAAAGGGCAGATGTCCGTACTGTGAAAAAGATGCAATAAAGATGCTTGGATTGGAAAAAGCACGCACTCACTCCTCAAGTTCACAGGAGCATCCCTTCAGCGAGTGCAAAGCAGAAAGTGGCTAAACCTTTGGTAAGATTCAAGCCCCAGGTGGCCTCAAGGACTTCCAGCCAGGAGGGCATGGCTCACACCTGCCTCAAGGGCCCTGGCGTTAGAGCCCTGGCACCTCAGCCTCCTGAACCACGAGGGAATTAAGTCCTAATGCCGCAGCTGTTTCAGATTAAAAAGTGCAAATCATTTTTATTTAAAGATGGTGAGAAAGTGTTCTCATCAAAACACTATTTTAGATGCTGGTCATTGTTACCTGCTAAAAAACAGGTTGCCGACTGACCTGATACATGCACCCGCGAGCCCTGCTTTCAGTTCAGCGAAAGCCTACATTTTATTGGTCATCTGACAGACTAATTCCAATCCATCGAAAGGTCTGGGCGATGCCCCAGTCCTGGACCCCAAACAGCCGCACGTCCCCGACCTGGCCCTTCCCAGGAGCTCCCCCTGGGGAGGAAGTTTCGGGGAAGCGTCCGGGAGGCGGCGAGGCTCACGTCGCTGCCGGAGCTGCCGCGGTGCCAAGAGCAACCTACTGCTCCAAGTACAAAGACCCGGGCGCAGCGGGTACGCGCTGCTCCGTCAAAGCAGCGAGCGGCAGCGCAGCGCGGCTTCTAATCCCCCGCGCGGGGAAAGTGCAAAGGCTGGACGGTGCCCGACACGTGTCAGGTCTGGCTGCCGGGTAACGCCGCGCGCGGGCGCCGCTCGAGCGGGATCGGTCACCGGGACGGTCCCCCAGCCGGCGGCGAT